CGACTTGTCGTGAAAGGTTTTCGGCAACTTCAAGGTGTTTACTATGATGAAACCTTCTCACCCGTAGCGATGCTTAAGTCAGTCCAAATCATGTTAGCAATTGCCGCATTTTATGATTATGAAATTTGGCAAGTGGACGTCAAAATTGCATTCCTTAATGGATTTCTTAAAGAAGAGTTGTATATGATGCAACCAGAAGGTTTTGTCGATCCTAAAGGTGCTAACAAAGTGTGCAAGCTCCAACGATCCATCTATGGACTTGTGCAAGCATCTCGGAGTTGGAATTTACGCTTTGATGAAGTGATCAAAGCATTGGTTTTATACAGATTTTCGGTGAAGCCTATATTTACAAGAAAGTGAGTGGGAGCTCTGTAGCATTTATGATATTATATGTAGATGACATATTGTTGATTGGAAATGATATAGAATTTCTGGATAGCATAAAGGATACTTGAATAAAAGTTTTTCGATGAAATACCTTGGTGAAGCTGCTTATATATTGGGCATCAAGATCTATAGAGATAGATCAAGACACTTAATAGGACTTTCACAAAGCACATACCTTGACAAAGTTTTGAAGAAGTTCAAAATGGATGAGTCAAAGAAAGGGTTCTTGCTTGTGTTACAAGGTGTGAAGTTAAGCCAGACTCAAAGCCTGACCACTGCAGTTGATGAAGTGATATATTGGAAGCGATGACTTGTTCTCGCATATCGGTTCTCGTAAGATTCTCCATACAACATATAGGGTGTACATCATGCACCTCATTAATCATTAGAGTTTGTCTTCAATTAAATAACAAATACTTTGATAGAAACACGCCTCATCATATCCACATTCATTTAGTGCATTCAAGTCAATTCTAGATTCACTTTGCTTTTATGGGATTATATATGTTTGAAAAATACCATTATTTATGTGAATAGAGAAGGTTCTCATTAGTCACACCTAACAAAAAAATTCCATTTGAAATATGAAAATAAATCACTGTTCACGATTGTCATACATCCGACCTGGACCTGTAATATTTGAATACATAAATTGTGTACTAATGCCTAGATAAAATTTTGGAAGCATTTGCCCATCAGTTGACGTCAAAAGATGGCTAGCACACAATAAATGCATGCAAGCAACTTGGTTGTGATAGGATAGAAGCGATAACACAGAGGTATATGTGTCATCGCGTGACAACACGTTGGTGCTCAAAAGCTCACTAAATTAAGAGATTCTCCATATCACACGACAAAACCTTTTGTCCGCTCGGGGTTCCACATATGCTGACAGAAAAAATGACACACGCATGCCCAAAACGCTCCACGGTGATCTCTCAGCAGCACACAACTCCCCCTTCTTCCCAAAACTTGATAGTGCACCATCCTCATTAGCTTTGATCTAGCTGTTCTCGGTCGGGAGCCACCGCTCACATTGAGCTGGAGTTGGTACTCTCACGAGAGTTGGATGTGTCTGCTCCCATTCAATCATCAGATTCACAGCTATGTTAATTATTGCATGTGGTTCCATGATTCATCTTCCTTCCACCTCTCTCGATTCACCTAGCCATGCGAAGATGCAACAATGAAATGTACTATGTGTGAACCCCGATGCCAACGGGGTCGCCAACGGGGCTCCATTTTAAATTAAATTGAAATTTTTATGAGTATGAATATTCATTGCATAATTAAGATATGATCATCATGTTCGTAACTCTATAGACTTTTATCCAACTGCATCTATAACTAATAATCCAGGCAATACTGCTATCCAGCATGCATCTTAAAGTATTAGTAAAACCAGATTATTGCATTGAGTATGATGACATGAAGTAGATGATATTTTGTCTTCACTATGTGTTCAAAGGGCAACTACACAAGCATATTTTTATCCCTAGTGGCAACAACACGATACAAGACTTTTCCACTTTCTATCACATTGGTAGCTTACTTGCACAGTTGAACCCAACTATCATACACAACTCCCTCTTCAAGATCAAACCCCAAACATGGCCAAACAAGGAAGAATAGATCAGAGAGTATATAGGAATAAGAATTATTTAGCAAAGAAACCAAATATATCTAAAAAATATTCATGAATAAATTTGATCATAGAACGACAATTCATCATATCCCGACAAACACACCAACAGATTACATCAGATGGATCGCAATCATGTAGGGAAGCTCATGAGATGTATTGAGAAGCAAGAGAGAGGGAACCATCTAGCTACTGTTATGGACCCATAGTCCAAACAAAACTACTCACGGGTAATCATGACGGCCTTCAAGTTAATGGAGATGGCCACCGTGAAGAATTTCCCCTCTGGATCATGAAAAATAGACGTGTGCAGTGGCAGAAAAATTCGGGTTTACAAATCACGAAGGGTATTGAAGGTATATAATGGCACAGGGACCGAGAGGTGGTGGATCGGAGGTTAAGCAGGCCTACATGAGCCCACCACACGCGCACCCTCCTGGTGCGTGGGTCCCCTGTGTGCCACCCTGGCCTATGTTGGAGCTCCCTTGAAGCGTCTAGACTTCATATTTCCGCTGATTTTTTCTGGATTTTTTTGGTCCCAAAAAAATAATTTTCATGGAAACTCCAAAAATAACAAATGGCACTGAGAAATTTGTGTCAAAACTATACCACAATGATATAAATATAGCACCGAACAATAAAAAAATTATAAATACATTTAAGACATATCTGTTGGTTGTTGGTCTTACTCGACAGAGTTGATACTTCCACTCGTTCCAAGATTTTATTTCTATTCTGGAGGGCTTGGCCGTTAAGGAATGATGTGATTTTTTGGAGAGGAAATGCGTCTATCATGGCATCCGTTAATATTTTGGACAACTATTGGTCCTTTTTTTTTCTTTGAGTTTTACTATGTCTTCTTCAGTACTTGAAGTTAAAGACAAATAACTGGTGTCCCGTAGCAACTTGGTGACAAACCAACTTCTAGAAGTCTGTTGTGGGAGCCACTTCCGATTGATTATTGCACTAAGTTAGATGTGGATGCTAGCTTTGTTGCTCAAAATTTCTAGCTGACTAGCCCAGGAGTTATGGCAAGAGGCTCTGAGGGCAAGATCTTAGTTTCAACCTAGGATTTTATGCATGTTTGCTCCCGTGCAAAAGAGGTTGAATTGCGTCTATGCCTGGTGGGACTTTACATCGTTCTCAATTTGGACCATCCTATTACCCCGAAGATTGATTAGATGTTTGCTCATAGGATCTTTGAGCGGATCCACTTTGGTTGGTTTGAAGATAGAGGTGTTCGGAATCTCTCAACTACTACTGAATTTCAAACCAACAAAAGTCAAGAGAGAGGCTACCAAAGTGGCTCATGGGACTGACAAGTTTTGGCAATGTGCATTAAGTGAGAGGAGATGTTCCCGTCAACTACGTAGGCATCTGTCGAGACTTTGTCAATCTCAAGATAATGTGTCGGCTCAGTATCTCGGAGGTCCTTATAGGGGTAAGGTGTCCGTGCGTGCATGTGTTCATAAGGGAGAGTGTATGTGCGCATGTATGAAGCGTTTGTATTGTGTCCAAAAAAAATCATTAAGTAATATATTGGGGTTTTTCTAAAAAAACAACTTGAGGTCCTAAAAACTATGTAATCAAACTGTGGTAAAGTAGATTTTTATCTTCTTCTTTTTGTTTCCACGGAAATGAAGTAGAAGCCATTAAATTTGTCATGAAGTTGTTTCACTATATAAATTTGTTGTGTCAACAGCTTGGAGACAACAATAAAGTACGTGAAGATATTTTTCACAAAAGAATGGGTGCCTTATCATTTGGGCATGCACCTACCCATATTTTGTTGAGGCTCCGCGGTGTGTGAGATCGCTGATACTACTTGTTTCCATTTGACTCGGGAGCAATCCAATCATAATTCATAGGTATTCAGCTAAATATCAAAATATATTGGTAAGCAAACGTTAATATGTTAATATCACCTTGTCTCGTAGGCAAGATATAATTAAGAAGACAATTTCAAAATAGGGGGATTACAGTAGCTTAGTAAGTTGTTTCTTATGCATCGAAGTAAGAGGTCTTGGTTTAATTCAGTATCTCCTCATAGCATTTTATTTCAGCTTATTTTGTAACTTTTTTTCTTGTACTTTTCTCTTGGTATTGTTTCTTTATTTTCTCTCTTTCACTTTTATTATATATTTTTGACATTAATACACACAATTCTACATAATATTCATTTGCTTATAATTTTATTAAAATTTTGAAATTATATACGTTTATTTTAGATTCACTCTCTTTTTCCTAGCAAATTTATAGATTGTATTACAGATTCAATCTCTTTCGTGCTTGTAGTTTCATAGGTTTTCTTGTTCTGGATATCCATCTTCAAAATTTCTGTGCCGCCATTGATTTGGTTGTCATTACGTTGCAGCTTTGTTGCTTTGTGTTTAGGGCATGTACAACGCGTCGCCCCAACTAGCTTCCCCGCAGGCCAGGTAGACTCGGGTGTCAGGGACGGTGGATTCGCAGCATGTCATAGTTGCCTGCATAAGTCGCCGCTGCTTGGCCGCGGAAAGCATGAGCGAAAGGAAAAAGGAAGGGAAGCCTACTTGTTGCATGAGTGGATGAACAAGGACAATCACATGCAGCGATTGCTTCACCAGTACAATCCTATGTGGAGGGGATGAGACCAGCATTTGCTATAGCCTCCGCAGCCCATGCCCTTAATGTGCCATTTCAGTTTCAAAATGACCTGTCTACAGGTCATGAGAAAAGAAAAGAAAAACTACGGCCCTCACCACCAACGGTTATAACCACATTTATCGTTTTCCTCTGATTAATAGCCTCATTCATGAGTACATGTCTCTGCCAGAACCACTCAATGGACACTTGTCGTTTGATCTGTAACACAAAGGACAGCTAAGCCAGCACCTAATACCTATCTCAGCCTATTTAACACACTGAAGCAACTCGATCAGCCCTAAAGCCAAGTGCGACTACCTGCATTGCACCTTGCCTAACCCTAGCCATGGAAAACGACGGCGTCCCCAACGGACCAGCGGGGCCGGCGCCTACCCAGGCGACGCCGGTGGTGCGGGAGCAGGACCGGCTGATGCCGATCGCAAACGTGATCCGCATCATGCGCCGCGCGCTCCCTGCCCACGCCAAGATCTCCGACGAAGCCAAGGAGGCGATCCAGGAATGCGTGTCGGAGTTCATCAGCTTCGACACCGGCGAGGCCAACGAACGGTGCCGCATGCAGCGCCGCAAGACCGTCAACGCCGAAGACATCGTGTGGGCCCTAAACCGCCTCGGCTTCGACGACTACGTCGTGCCCCTCAGCGTCTTCCTGGAGCGCATGCGCGACCCCGAGGCGGGGACAGGTGGTGCCGCTGCAGGCTACAGCCGCGCCGTGATGAGTGCGCCTCCCCGTGCGGCCTCGCCTGTGATCCACGCCGTGCCGCTGCAGGCTCAGCGCCCGATGTACGCGACCCCAGCTCCGGTGCAGGTTCATAATCAGATGCAGCGGCCCGTGTATGCTCCCCCGGCTCCGCTACAGGTTCAGATGCAGCAGGGCATCTATGGGCCCCGGGCTCCAGTGCACGGGTACGCCGTCGGAATGGCACCCGTGCGGGCCAACGTCGGCGGGTAGTACCAGGTGTTCGGCGGAGAGCGTGTCATGGGCCAGCAATACTACGGGTACGGGTACGGGGAAGGAGCGTACGGCGCAGGTAGCAGCAACGGAGGAGCCGGCATTGGCGACGAGGAGAGCTCGTCCAATGGCGTGCCCGCGCCGGGGGAGGGCAAGGGGGAGCCAGAGCCAGAGCCAACAGCAGAAGAATCACAGGACAAGCCCGTCCAATCTGGCTAGCCGCGTGGGCGGCGCGCGTTAGCTTCTGCATCCTGCGTAGTGTAATAATTTGACGTGTCGATCCGGCCATGGTTTGTGTGTGTGTACTGCTTATCTAATGTGGGCTGGTCCTCTAGTAATTCATGTACTGCTTACCTAATGTGGGCTTGTCCTCTAGTAATTCATGTACTCTTTGCTGTTGAAGTTATTGTCGCTTAATTTGGTTTTGCTTAATTTGGCTACTCATCATTGATGATCAGGTGAAAAAACCACATTTATTTTCAAAAAGGTTTCCGACTTTTGTATTATTGTGATGCACACTGTAGTATATGATTGCAAATTAGACCTTCGTATGATGTCACGAACATGTCATATTAACGGGTCATACGATCTCTCACGCTTAAATCGAAGTCATACTCTATTTCTCTCTCTCTCTCTATCTATCTATCTATCTATCTATCTATCTATCTATCTATATCTCTGGCTCTGTCGCCACATGTACATACACATGTGCGTCGGTTAGCAAAGTGGTCATGAATGAGTTGGGAGCGACATAAGTACTTTGAAGCCTTTGGCCGGTGGTGACATCTTGCGGGCATAGCTAGAAAGGAAAGTGTCTGACCTTGTTGTATTGATGGGGCGCGTGCCGCGGGCTGGCGTGGAGCGGTGGAAAGGACATCGTCGCGCGGCATGATCGATAGACTTGCACCAACTTCCCTTTCAGCAAACCGCACATGCATATGCTGGGGAAAAATGAATCAACGTGTGCCGTGGCCAGCAATACTACAGGTACGGCTATGGGGAAGGAGTGGCGGCGCAGGTAGTAGCAACGGAGGACCTTGTGCCGATGAGGAGAGCTCGTCCAACGGCGTGCCGGTGCCGAATGTAGGCACGGGGGAGCCGGAGCCAAAGCCAGCAGCAGAAGAATCACAGAACAAGCCCATCCAATCTGGCTAGCCGCGTGGGCAGCGCGCGTTAGTTTATGTGTCGTTTGTGCTGTAAAAATTTGCCGTGTCGACCCAGCCATGGTTTGTGTGTGCGTACTGCTTACCTAATGTGGGCTTGTTGTCTAGTAATTCATGTACTCTTTGTTGTTGAAGTTATCGTCACTTAATTTCGTTCCCCTTACATTGGCTACTCGTAATTGATGATCCGATGAAAAACTACTTTTTTCCTCAAAGGGTTTCCGACTTGCATAATTATGACATACTCCCTCCATCTCATAATATAAGACATTATTACATCCAATAGTTAAGTATGAGACATAATGCAGTACTTAATATTTTGCATTGCAAATTGAAGGTTTTTATAACGTCACCAAAATGTCATGTTCACGGGTATACAGTCTCTCATGCTCAAACAGAAGTCATACTCTCTATCTATCTATCTATCTATCTATCTATCTCTAGCCACATGTACGTGCGTATGTGTGTTGGTTAGCAAAGTGGTCATAAATGAGTTTGGAGCGACGTACGTACCTCGAAGCCTTTGGCCTGCGATGACATCTTGCGCATGTAGCTGGAAAGGGAACTGCCTGACGTTGGTGCACTGATGATGCGCGCACCCCGGGCTGGCCTGGAGCGGTGGAAAGAGCATCGCCGCGGGCGGCGTGATCGATAGACTTGTGCTCATACCTTTTTGTTTTCCGACTTCAGGCGCACATGCAATTATGGTTCCTCTGCCTCCTGTTTGTGTTGCCACCTATCCACCAACCTCCTGTGGTCTCCAGGCCAAGGAGGCATGATGGACTGTTGCCCTTGGCGGCGGGAAGGATCTTTCTCATTTTTATGCCTTTTTCATTCAGTTAAGGTTTGTGTACTGCTCAGTAAGATGAGGTGACGATAACTCCCCGGAGATGGAATAAGGTTCTCCTTGCCTACTCCGCATTCGGCGCCCCGGTTATCGTAGCTGAAGGGCATGTGGCGGTGTGTCTCTAGCGGATCTCGTAGGATTCAGTCGGTGCCGGTCTTCTGTGAACCAGCTTGGATCTTGTCTTCATTTGTGTGCGTCGGGTTGGATCCTTCCAATCTACGATTCTCTTCACCGGCAGCAGTTGCTGTTCATATGCATCCTCTTCAGCATGTGTTAGTAGTTCTAGTTTTTAGTTTATGGGTCTATTGAAAGGCTTGGAGGATCCAAAAGTGTCAGTTTATGTTGGAATTGCTTTGCTCTGAAACTACTGAACCAACTGCTTTCGCACCCGCAGGGGGAAGGGGGGGGGAGATCCGGAGCAATGACCCTAATGATCTGGAGCGCGCCAACATCACCCCAAGCACTACAAGAGCTACCGGAGTCCACACCCGTGAACAGGCCACCGAAAAGAGATGAAGCCGCATACGATGAACCGAGAACTCCAAGCGGTGCCTTCTGGAAGGGAACGACGCCAGAGTGCCGCCACCATCTAACCCGAGGGTCAGAGTTTCCCTGGAGGAACACGACGGGCAATGAAGGTCCGACGACGCCTTCAAGAGGGAATGAGCTTCGCCGCTGATGGTTTGTTCGAAGATAGAGCGGGTTTTCACCCTGACCAACACTCACCGCCACCGAACGTCACACCCCGTCTACCATACCGCCTACATGGCGATGGTCACCAGGCAGCACCAAGCCACGAGCTATGTCGATGAGCACCGCGCTACCTCCACCAAGGCCGCCGCCCCGGCATCAAAGGCCTCGACACCACCTCATTCAAGACCCGTGGCTACTCAAACCAAAGAGACGAGTGAAAAGGTCCCGCCTTTCGCACCCCTAGGCGGCCCCCAGCGCCGAGACCCAATAGGCCGGTCACAACCGGCCTCCATCATCCCGTCCTAGTGCACCAGGCGCAAGATAAGTTCAGTCCTGCTGCCAGGCGCGAGGCAAGCTCGGTCCTGCTGCCAGGCGCGAGATGAGTTCGGTCCCACAACACTGGGCCCGAGACCAGTGATGGACCACATATCGGAGAGGACTAGCCTTTCGACTAAGGTAGCGCCTGGATGACGAGGAGGGGGATCAATGGCCGATACAGGCTGCTCACCGACAGGCCGACATCGGAGATGTCTAGCAGCCGCCGTGCAACGACCCAGACCATTGCCATGAGCCATCACCACGCCGTGGCAGCCCACATCCATGTCGGGACCCCGATGGACAGCTCCGTGCCACCCGCCGGTCGCCATGGGCCAGATCCGAGCTGATCTGGCCGGCAACACCGCTTCCTGCTGTAGCTGCGACGTGCCACCGAGGTCCATGGCCATAGCCACGACCCCACCGGGCCGCAGCCCGCAGCCACCCTGATGGGAGCTCAGATCCGCCGGAGAAATCACGCCGCCCCCACATCACCTCCATAGAAGCAGCGCCCGCAGAGCACGCAGCCCCCACGTCGCCCAACAGCCCTCCACGCCGCCTCCACAAGCCTCCCAAGTCGCCGAAGGGGCTGCCGGCGCCGCACCGCCACGCCACTGAACGAGAGGGCCGCCCCGCGACGACCCTGCCTCGCATGAGGGGAGACCAGGGCCCCGCCGCCGCCGGGGGCGACCAGCAGTTGGGGTGGGGCTCAGGTACATGTTGCCTGACAAAATAAACTTGATATCGTTTAACGTTGTAAAGTGCACCGGACCGCAACTCGGCACAATGGGAAATAGAGGTAATCTTTGCACTAGGCTCACAACATAGTGCCCGGTCCTGTTGATGTCAAAAAAAGTGCCCGGTTCTCTTCTTTATTGACTTTTGCTATTCTGAACACTATATTTGATTTTCTTCTTCTGAATGCACATCTCTAAATTTCTGCAAAAAAGAAAGGAATACACATCTGTAAAAGTTGGGGTGGTCACTATGTTATAGCTTTGTTGCCTTGTGTATAATGTACCATTTCAGTTTTGAAATGACCTGTACACACAGCGTGAGGAAAGAAAAAACAACTACGACATTTGTACTAGTAGCACTCACGGCTATAATCACATTTATACATGATTTGTCGTTGGCTTGCATACGTTTGGATGTGCAAGCATTAATTTGCTTCCATATCTTTTGTATTACACCCTCTGTTTCTAAATATAAGACCTTTTAGAGATTTTAATACGGACTACATACAAATGTATATAGACACATTTTAGAATATAGATTCGCTCATTTTGCTTCGTATACATTTGGATGTGCAAGCATTAATTGCATGCATATCTTTATATAGTATCAATTAATTTCTTCTACTAATGTCCTTATGTTTCTCGTTGAGGCCAGCACCAGATAGCATCAGATAGCACCAGCTGGCTCCTGGTTGAGGCCACCCACATGCTAGTTTTTTCTTATAAATTGTGGAATGGATGTTGTATAACAACCGTAAGGACAACATAGATCTAGTAACACTAGTGAGACGCGAAGCGATGGAAGAAAGGCAAGGCAATGACCGTGTCAACAAAGTAGGAGAAGGTAAAAGTAGAAAAAATTAGTTGATTCTTCTTCAGATCATCTGTGTGAAGTATTTGGTTTTTGTAGTTGTGTGTTGTTCAAATATATTACTAATCCGTGAATGTCCATGAACAAGTTATTTAAAATATCGCCTCATCCTCTGTTGGTTCCCGCATAATTTCAGATCCAATTTGTTTCATATAATTCTTTTTATGATTTTAATCTACAATAATTTTCGTTATATGAATGGAAGTTCTAAAAAGAAGTTGCACAACGATTCTGGAGATAAAAATCTCCTTTAGGGCTTGCTTGTTTAATCCCTTTCTCAAGGAGATTGGAGAGGTTTGAAGTGGATTGGGGAGGAATTTAACCTACAGGAAATTTAATCCCTCACAATCCCCTTTGATCCCTCTCAAACCCAATACAACCGAACAAGGCCTTAAGATTTTGATCTACAATGCTTTTCGTTATATGGCTCGTGTATTCTTTTTGTACATATATATATATATATATATATATGGTTTTCGGTGGACGCGGTGTTTTGGTTCCTACGTGCATATGCATCCATTGTCTAAATACACATTTTGGAAAGTTGAAAAATTCGGAACAAAAATCCCGCGGATATATCCGGACATTCTGCG